CGTGCTCACAGGCTGCCTACACCAGCCTCTGCGCTGGCAAGTTACACCAGCGCTTCCCCTCCCTCTCCAAGGTGTATCATTTAAAAAAAAAAAAAAAATCATTAAATAATTTGCAATTCGTAAGCACGGTCTCTTCCCCCTTGCGCTTGCAGAACCAGCTGCAGCCCCTCATCCAGGGAGACGACTTAGAATCATAGAATCATAGAATCACTGAGGTTGGAAAAGACCTCTAAGATCATCGAGTCCAACCGTCGACCCAACACCACCACCCACTAAACCATGTCCCTAAGTGCCTCATCTACTCGTCTTTTAAAGACTTGCTCAAATACGTGGATGGAAGCTGCAAAATGTTAACGCTGAGCACCAAGCGGTATAATTTTCCAATTGCCCACTGGTTGTACAACGACAAATTATAAGTCTAAATATAATACGTTAAATTTCCTTCCATCGGCAATAGCCCTGGTTTGCTTTCAAGGCGTACCACGAACCACATCCCATCGGGATGCCACCAACCGCCATTACTAACGCTGTGTTTTAAGCACCTTTTCAACGGGCAGCTGTCTTTATACACAAAACTTTGTTTTTAAGAGTGGAGACGAACGGGTGTTGGGAAATTCGGCGCAATCTTTCACCGTATTTCACAAGCAGGTGTGAACAAGCTGCAAATTCAAGGAGGAAATCCCCAGTGATGACACTGCAGCTGGGTTATGGGGTAGTGCGATTAATTCGCTTCTGTAGCACGTATGAAATCTGAAAGGATCTGAATCGGGTATCTTAAAAGCACCGTACGCGTCGCGGTAACTCTCTGTCTTTATACATATGTCTACTTTGAGGTTCATAAAGCGGTCATTGCAACGTCCTGCTCAACTGGATGGTAAAACGTGGGATTTGGGGGTGCGCAAGCCGTTGAGCCGGTGCCACCATCGGTCTCCGGCGTCCCGAGCTCGGCACGGTGTCCACGAGCCTCCGTGCGCGGCGGCTGTTGGGGACACGCGGCGAATCCCACCGCAGCCGGCACCAGCACACGAGGAAAGGACTGACCTGGAGCTGTAAAGGGGCTGGGGTGACCACCAGGTAAGTGCTTCACCAGGGAAGACGCTGAGCTGCTGCTTCCTATTTATCCAAACCCAAACAGCTCCAGCAACAGTTAGTCCAGGGAATGACCTTCGTAGGCCGTTAAGGTGATTTTGAAAGGCTGCAGGGATACCGTGTCCAACAAAATGGTACTTTTTCCAACCACACCTAAACTCCTTTGAACTCAAGCGTTTTTCAAATATCAAATGCTGGTACTAGCAGGATCAATTTACCATGTTGTGGTTTAGCATCCGTCCCCGCCCCCCTCCCCAAAATGTTACTTTGATCAAATTTCTGCAACTTGTTCTACCTCAAGATCCCAATCAATATGTTTTTATTATTAATAAAAAATGCATTAACTTGTTCTAGTGACTATGTGCCAAACCACCGATTTCAGTGAGACCCGGATGAGTCCTACCACCTCGCCAGAAATTAGATTTCTAGAATGAAGCCACCCGAGGTAAATAATTAATATCCTTTTCCTTATAAATGAACATAATTCAGTAAGAGCAAATTATTTTAAAAGTCTGTTTAAAAAAAATAAAAATGCTCCCAAATGAAGATCGTATTTCTTCTGCATTGACAGATGAAGAGTCCCACCGTGGGACTCGGGGAGCGGTTGATACCAGAGGCTGAACCATCTCTAGCATCAAGGATCCCTTTCCCAGCTGGATTCAGACTCGATCTAGAGCTCTTCATCCTCGACACAGACGGCACCACACTCGGAGCAGCTAACCAACCATTTTTGTGCTGCAGGTAACTTATTTCTCAACCTTTTTTGCAAGCTCATGCAGATCTCAGCAGAAGGAAGATTTGCCCTCGCTCCCTTTGATCAGCGCTCATCCATTCGGTTAGCAGCTACACGTAAAACGCAGGAACGTCTCTGCTGTTACAAAACTCTTCACGTTTTATTTCCTCCCTCCTCCTCCTCCTCTTTCCCGTAACACAAAAAGCTTCTTTCGCAGTTTATCAAGTCCCTCCGCTAGTACCAGCTAAAAAAGGAACCAAACTTAGAGGAACTCTTCCAGGAAAGCAGAAGAATTTTTAAAATAAGTTATTCAAAGCTAAAAAAAAATCTTCATTTACATACCCAGAACTTGTTAAAACACCCTCCCGGTCCCTACGGGACCAGACCGGAGTCCTTTACCTGCTGTCAGACAAAATACTCTCAGGCAAATATATTTTAATGCAATGGAATTTTGTTCTCTGGTAATTAACAAACGGTTAATGGAAAGATAAACTCATTGAGAAAACAGACAATTTATGGTCCAAATTTTTCTGCCCTTACTGGCGCACATGTTCCCATTAATTTAATTCAAGTCTCACTAGCAGTCAGATTTATGAAGTAATTTAGTATCCAGACTTAAGAGGGAAGAGTGGACCATGGTAAGCAAAGACACATGGATCTGCTAAGAAAGAGACAACTATAACTTGATTACAAATACTAAAATATATTCAATTGAAAATACAGGAATTTCACGTAACTCCAGCACTAAATGTACCCTCTTTCACCAACATACCAAAAAGAAAGTGTTTTAAAAAATGACAGCCATATAGTTAATCCAGCCTTCAACACAGACCAGGCAACTTACAGCTTTTCTTCTCAGCTTAGATGAAACGAGCATTTCCTCCCTTGATTGTCAATGCGGAATAAATTGCCATAAAAAACGCACTAACACATCAACTCTGGGCAACAAAGTCCCCAGACCTAATACTTGAAGAGGACCTGGCCTGCTGCTTCAATTTGGCACGCTCTTCCCCTTGCTCTTCTTTAGCCAAATTGACCGGTTCTTATTTAGGTCCTAAAACATATTTAGGATGTAGCTATGTGGTAGGACTGACCCAATCTATCAGCTCACTACTGCTAAAAAGGGGGGTCCCAAGCAGCTCCCCATTTCTGGCCACGCGCTTCTGCACCCTCCTTCGTTCAGCCCTTGTACGAGTCGTGCAGCAAGACAGCTCGCTGATCAACTCAGTAATCCAGCCAAGAATTAGCCCAGAGGCCGTTTTCTTGCAGGCTAGCAAGAACGAGTGGTTGTTTAGCCAGGCAAGCACCGGACCGGCACGCTGAGCTGGACCACGGGGGCACCGGGACCGCGGGGCATGGAGGAGCGAGGCTCCCTCCACGCTGGGAGCCTGCGCCGTCGATTCATCTCACACATCTACCCACACCCTCCATCATTTGAATGGGAACTGGAGATATTCCTGAATTCGCAGCAATTAACTAACCACACGAATGCAAAAATGTATTTACCGCTGGGATGGATAACCCAGTTCTGGAGCAGCGTGATCCAGCACCGCGGGGAGATGAGCTGCAGCGGTGGGTGCACACATTTCGGGTTGCATAGGCTTTTGGATTGTCCCTTGGTTTTATTTCCATCCTTTGATTTTGTCATTTGCAGGTGGCATCCAGTGAATTTCCACAAAGCCTTGAAGTTGTTCCCTAAACTTCGTATCACAACTGTGAATGGCTTGGAAATAGGAATTTTCGGTTGTTCCACTGTGGAAGCAGACGTAGCAGAGCAGCTCAGGACAACGAAGAAAATTATTCTTTCACCGTATGAAACATAGACTTGCTGGAGTCTGCTCAGCTTTTGACTACATAAAGCAGAGCGTGGTAGCAAGATCTCTGCACCTGCCATTAATTTTTAACTTACAAAAGAAAAACAATTTATGGGGGGAAAGAACGTGCCACTGCACGATCTGTAGACTCTGCCCGCTTTACACCATTTCTAAGAGAGAAGTCATAGAGATCAGTGAGTTTCTGCTCCAGAAGTCACGTTCTTCAAGTTTGCAACTCTTCCCGGTATTTTTTTTTACAGAAATCAAAGACTTCCTCTACATTTGAAGCATATTTGAAGCACGAAATATTAATATTGGTGTAATTCAGTTCAGAGTTACCGTAACCGCAGGTAAGACAGAGTCTGTTTGAAGGGTGGGGATAAGACATCCAATTCAAGTCGATCCCTTTAGTCAAACACTAGGAGGTCACGCTCCCTTTCTTTTTCTTCAAAGACCGTTGCTTAAGTACAGCCAAGTACATTCTTAGCGAAGAAAACGTGGAGAGTATAGAAAAATTATCCGCAGGATTTAACTTCCTCATCTCCCCAGCTCGGTCTGGGTGAGGATTACCGCTGCACACAAACCACCCTCGAGCGGTGCACAATTTACAAGGGAGAGATCTTTAAAGTGGGAGTGTTTTCGGTTTTTGGAGCGTTGTTATTCCACATTTGAAGCAGGGAGGGAAATTGTGTATTAAACCCGGTTCATTTTCCACCTGCATTACCATCAACTCAACAAAAGTAGGAGCACAAACTCTAGCAGCTGTACTTAAGCCTGTCAGAGTTTTCAGTGTTTATTAGAAAGCTATGGAGCGTTTCAGCTTGCAGGAATCCATGCTAGGGGAAACAGTTAAGTTTTCCAAAAGCCCCGATTTTACTTTTGACCAGAAAACTGAGCTAAAATTTGGGAAACTCCCAACTTGTAGTTTGGTTTGAGGTGGGAAGGAAAGGAGGTAAAGTTGGCCTACATGTCCCTTAACTGAAAGAATGAAGTCATTGCAGAAACAGACTGAGCTACGCATCGGTGAAATTCCTCCCGTAGGGGTATTTCTACAAAGAGAAATATGCTTTTATCAGGATAACTTGTCTTTGAAAATGCACTTGGAGGAACACTTTAGGAAAGACTACTTGTCATCTGCCTACAGACTTCCAGAGCATACTTCCCAAACTTCACTGATGCAGGGAGTAAGTAGGCAAACTTAGGGCTCACACTTCAGAGCTTTAAATGAATCAAATTGTTAAGAGTGATTCACTTCTGACAGGAAGCCTAAACTGTATTTGTTTATGAGAAAGCTTCATATGCAAAGGGAGAACCGTAAGAGCTCCTCAACTTGAGCGTAGCAACACCCCCAGTTACAAACACTTGGCAGAGTTATAAATACTTTATTAGTTTCAGTATAATAGTCCTCTTACACAGAAATCGGGTAACAAAATACTTACAAGTTACAAAATACTGTATACAAGTTTGAAGTAGATGTTATTCAAAAGCTTGTAACAGGCAAGTTATCTTCAATTCTGGCGCAGAACACAAGCCTTCCCGAGGGCTGTATTAAGCCAAACGATCCAGTGCTCTGCTCTAGGAATCCGTGGTCCAAGGAAAACCCCTGGGCTGTGAAGACTCGCACCAGCCTGCACATTGGGTTTCTGGGGAGGCTAGGTGTCCCAAACCATCGCTTACGAATTTATTCCAAGTTCCAGATGTTTGAGTATCCTTTTTTCTTGCTTTAGAAAAGCTATGCTAACTGTACCCGGTACTCTCTCCAGTTTGCAACGGTTCTCTGCGTGCCACGGGAAAGAACTAATTTGGATACCAGAAACCCCACCGTTATTTTTAAGTGCTATCCAACACCATCCTACTTCATGTCTTCATACAGAGCTTGCTAACGCTACTATTTTTATTTTTTCATTGGAATTTCTATTGTCATAAAATCCTCAGCTAGTGTAACTTCTTGACCATCTAACACTGACTCTGCCTGTCTCTTCAGTTCGGCGATGTCCGTGTCTCCCTCTCCTCTCTGAGCAGCTGGTTTATACCGCTGACTGAAGTGAGTCAAAACCAGTTTCTTCACTTTACACAATTTTGCAAATTCTGATGCCATTTTTGGAGTGCTGTGACCATGCTCCCTGGCCTTTTCCTCTTGGGTATCGTCCAACGTGGCTTCATGTATCAGTACATCTGCTTCACAGCAAAGCTTCGTGGCCGCATCTCCAACCACCCCTGAACAATCCCCCAAAATGCAAATCTTTCTTCCAGGAATAGGGTCTTCTAAGACGTCTGAAGGAGAAATCGTTACTCCGTTTTCTAGAACGATTGCTGTTCCATCCTTCAGTTTCCCATATAAAGGACCTGGTTGAACTCCTGGTAAATAAAGGCAAAAGAGTCCGTAAGTATTATGATGAGTGTCAGGTTTAAAAAAAAAAATCGCTTAAGAAGAGATATGCTATATATAGAGCTGTCTCACTGAAAAAATACAACCTCAATATAAATAGCAATTGATATTTCACATACTTCATACAAATAAAGAGCTTGTAACGTTAGCAGGAAGTGAGTTTGAAGAAAAGCTATATTCTTCATATTAAAGTCAATAAAGTTATGCAAATACACTGGCCATACATTTCCCTGAAAGCCACGTTGTGCTTTTTAAACTTTAACATCTGAACTTGTTTGCTCTTCCCAGGATGAGAATGGTCTGCAATATTAACTGGCCCTAGTGTTACACACCAATTCAGACTGCTCCATTGGTATGAAGTATGAAAATGTCTTTAATAGAAAATGGAAAATTGAATTAAAACGGATTACAGAGAGATACAGCAGCTCTAATTTGCTAGAACCCCTAGAAAAGTGGTCATGAAAAGATTTCAGCTGCCTGTGAACCCGATTTTGTTACATTTGCTGAAAATCGGGAGTCACTACTCAGCTTGAACACATGCATTTAGGCATTTAAAAAATTAAAAAGAGGAAAAATAAGTCAAAGTAGTTACCAAGGTCTTTCAGTTTCTGTACATTGAGTTTACCGGTCCGGGGCTTCTCTTCCACCACAAAGCCAAAGGAAGGAATGCGGTGAAATAGGCGAAATGCTTTCAGAACTAGCTGCTCATCCTCAACCAGCAAGTAAGAGTTTTCTACTGGATCCAGCTGGAGTATTCTCCCTTGTGCTCCCTGGGGAGACACCTCATCTCCGTCCAAGCAAGAAAACTCTTTAAATTCTTCCGCGGGGCACTGGTCCCGTGTGGGTACCAGTTCATGAACAGTGTAGGGAAAGAGAAGTTGCGAGTGGGAGAGCTCCATGCTCCTCCGTATGAAGTTTCGCAGTCCTAATGGCCCATAAATATCAACGGGTGGTTTGTGTGGGTCAGGGCTACTTTGGAGGCTAAGTGTACACAGCAGGCCAGGAAGTCCAAAAAAGTGGTCACCGTGAAGATGAGTTATGAAAATCTTGGTAACTCTGCCTATTGATTAGAACAACAGGAAAAGAAAAACAAACCAGAAAGAGACAGGAGAATAGATGAACACCGTAACAACTCAGAAATAATCACTTTTTGGCAAGAAGTAGGAAATAAGGAAGGAGGGAAATGAAAATAAAACCAGTGTTTAAGAAATAAATCCCAAACCACAAGGTATTTTTTTTCCACAGCAGCGATAAATTTCCACACAGGGTTTATTTTGGCTTGATTTGTCAAGAAAAGGCTGCCGAAGCAAGAGTTTTAGTTGCTTCTAAACAAGTGTGCTACCATCGACTGGTAACATCTGCCATATTAAAATGCAAAGAAGTCCTGGAAAGTGGTTGTGCTTTCATACATCACGTGGAAACTGTAGACTAATGAGAAACATAAAGTGGAATTTCTGTTGTTCCTCGTTTTGAATCTAGCGCACAAAATGAACATAATTTTAAAAAAAAAAAAAAAAAGCACCCAGTTTGGATTTCAAAGTTTTTTTAAAAGGCAAGAACCCCACGGTTCCCGACTGATTTGTTTCTAACAGATGAAAAATTGCACTTAAAGATTTGGGCTTTGTTTCGCGCCTGAGTTTGTCTCACTCCAGCTCTCAGGCACCGGGCCCTGCTCCTGCTAGATTAAAAAAAGCCCAGAATTTTCTCTCACTACAGACACGTGTATTTTAATCATGCTGCCTCAGTCTCCTCTGCTAGCCGAGTTCCCGCTTCCTCGCGATAAGGCATCCGTTAGGACCGAGCAGTAGGAAGGACACAATCTCTTTGTTTTGATTTAAGAACAATTTAGCAAAAATCAGTAAATTTAGTAAAAATTAAGTCTATTCAATTGGTCATTAAATCCCCCGACAGCTTCAGACTTTGGGGGAGCAGGAGGTTGGTTTTCTGTTTATAATTGATAAACCCATCTTTGTAACTTGAGCGTCTGAAGTCTGCTCTTGCCGCTGTAGACTGCAAAAGCACAGCGACTGAAGGCAAGTCTGGCTTCTACTTTATTTGCCAAAATGTAAAAGTTACCATGAATACACACAACTTTACTTGAAAACAAAAGCACAACATTTATAGACAGGAAGACTCACAGCAGGTATTGTCTAGAGCTGTCTTCAGACAAATACAAACCGTGCCAGTTTAAAGCCGGTCTGTGGCCCCCGTTTGAAATTACAAAGCCCAAGAAATTAATTCAGGAGAGTTTGGTTCTCGAACGCAATTCTTTACCAAAGGGCAATCAAGGATTACTGCACAGCAGGTTCAGCAACTGCCACCCATACGCAGCACCTTCAGACGCTCCTGCATGTTTAGCATGCATTCAAATACCATGAGCGCGAGGACAAAGTATTTTGTTTAGATCTCATGAAACCTTCCCCCTTCCCTCATCACAATACCTTTCAACAGCACAAACCTGCTTTGAGATGGCTCTTCATGAACTGTGTTTGAGTTCCCTCTCCGCAGTCGAAGAGCCAGCACTCTCCTTCCCTGCGAAGCACTAACGCCGATGCTCCTCTTGTTGGAGAGGGATATGCCGAGCCTGTGCCGAGGAAAGTTATATCCATCGACATTTTAAGTATGTCGGTATGCCACCTGAAAGAGAGATTTTGAGCTGCTGAACATATGTATTTATGCTGGGAAAGAAACTTTTCTGCTTTAAATGAAGGCATCCTATGTACTTTAGCGTGAGGATCAAACTCCCCTTCCCTTAAAAAATAAAAATAAAACCTCCCTGGAGTAGGATATGACTTTCAGACAACACAGTATTTACAAGCAGCAGATTTCCTTTTTATGTCAATGGAAGGTTGCAAACACGCAGCCCAAACGTAAGACACGACCTTTGTTCACTACCTAAAGAAACAGCCCTAGCCAGTTGGAAATGCTCCAGTCTTTAAGCCCACTATTCTGCCTTCTTCTTCGCTTTATTTAAACTTTGGATTTTCCTGCCTGCGCTTTCCTCTAAAAGCCTTTTCAGAATGACTAACACCAAACAGCCACTGCTGACATTTAAATGCCGTTTCTGGACGTCAGGAGCGGACAGCCCAGCAAGGCAGAGGGGAAAGATTCGCTCCCCTCACAACAACTTCAGAGACCGCAAGAGGCAGGAGCGACCTGATTCACTTTGCCTTTGCGACGGGCGTCCTTGAGAGCGATCGATGGTTTACTTCTTATCAGTGCTAAGTGAAAAATTAAATACTACCAAACCTTTACGTAGCCTGAAGGCTGTGTGACAGATCACGGGACACCTACTGCAGCAGCAGGACCTATACAATCAGCTGCCACACCCCAGCTGTTTATGCATCCACGCTATATTGCCCAGCTGAGGAGCCCGGCCGGTCTGCAGGAGCAGGACAAGCTTTGGAAAGCTGCGTTAGGAGCAGAACTTCCACGTGCAGGACTCCGGCGCCGTCCCGCCTTACGGGGTGTGCTTCCTCCAGCCTTAGTCTTCCCAGACTGAGTTCCTACCTCGTTGTCAGACGTATTTCCACCTCATTTCAAACTCCAGGTGCCTCAACGGCTTCAGATACCTTTCAAGCAAAAGAATCACCATTTCTCAGGTTTAGTTGCTTTTAGAGGAGCTGCCACAGCTTTCCAAAGGAAAGCAGTCCTCCTCCCTGGTGTGCTAGCAGGGTCCTCCCAAGCACACCGAGGGGCAACATGTAATTACCTGACCTTGGGGGGCAGGATAAACGTCCATCACACCCCCGAAAGGCAGAAAAACCCGTTTTGCTTCCTTTTCCTCAGCGTAAAAGCAGATTAACAGCTTCTCAGCTGAACCGGCCTCGGGCCTTACGCCGCGAATTTGTGTCCGTGGGCTGGGACGCGGGGCCAGCCC